GAATAAATTAAATATTAGCCTACCAAGCTAAGACCAGATAAGATGAGGAACAAATGATTATTATTTAAGGAAACAAATAATCATATTCAATGAAAAAGATAACTTCGTTTGGATATATAATCATCATAACTAATGCTCAAAGTTTAGTCCAATACTATAGTACCATTAGCACAATATAATTTTCATTCAAAGTGGACAGGAACACTAATTTTTGAATGTGATATTGATTAAAATAGAAAATAATATACGAAATAAACATTTTATATTCTTATAAATATTTTCATTAATAATTTTCCATATTGAATAAAAAACGTAGTATAGTGAAGTAAGTTCATTCAGTGTGTAACTGTTCAAGACCTATCATTAACTTATTGGTAAGCATATTGTAGGGAAATCAATACTTGATCTTACGAAATATAGTCTAATTTGTCCATAGACTACTGTGAGTAAGCATCTGAAACTATATTTGTGAATTAAAAGAATAGTCCAATCACATGAAATTTTAGCAAGACATAGGCAACACTCAATTTTAGGGTAATATTATTGGATTCATTTATCAGTAGAGTTGCCTAACAGATAACATGTCTGTTTCGATGTGTGTGAAACCTATGACGGATCGTCTTGCGCAATCTAGAAATTATACTTGCCATGCCAAATGATTTATGTATATACAACCCTAATATTACTACTTAGTTCTTTGAATATATATTTTTCATGGTTGCCTGCTATATATCGAGTTATTAATTTGAGAGGTATCTTTAATAAGATTTAAAGAAAAGCAAGAATTAGAGAATTAATAGTAACTGCATAAAAAGGGAGTTTCATGTTTTCCATGGAACTTTTCATATTAATGAATCTCGTTGTTAAAACAGTTGCTTTTTTATTTCTAACAACGACGGGTTATTTTAAATTACTCCATATTTACAACGGAGTGATAATCAATTACGTGGTACTAATTAATGAATCTTAAGGAAAACAAAGAAAGTATATCATATAACCCTCAGTGAATAAAAGTGCCCACAAAGTTGAATAACTCTAGAATCAATTCACTCCGCTCTACTCTCTCTCTCTCTAGTACTAACTACTAACACATACACACATAGAAAAGATATGCTTATCCATACACACTTCATATTTACTTCTACTACTCTTTTTTGTGCGGGTATCTACTACTCTTTCTTACCAACATGAAACATCTAACTATATGTCGAATGCGTGCATACATCCCTAACTTGCACATACTATTTGGCCAGTAAGGCTGTAGAAAATATCCTTACCCTCATCATAGTCTCCAAGCCGACATGCATTATTGCTAGCTATTTCCTAACATGCATGCATATATAACTATACGAGAAGATTACTAATTTACTACTAACAAAAGGGATGCACTGTTATTCTCGCATTTACAAATTGGATATGTATGAAGCTATCTGAAAGCCTGTCTGGTATGTTTGAACACATTGTTTGGTTCACTCACACTATAGCCAAATATTAAGACATGCCTACATACTCCCTCCGTCCGGATTTATTAGGCCTAAAGACAACTTCTCTTAGACCAAGACACATAGTAATTTGCTCACATTAATTATTCCATTCCACTCCCAATGCACTCTCTCACATGCATGCAGCCAATGAAAAAGCACACATGAAGTGTATTAACTTTTCAGCCATGGCACCAACAACAATAGCTTTCAATACAACCAATGAAATGGTTGCATGCATGCACCTTTCCAATGCGGGGCCTTATAAAAGGGGACATGCTTGTGATGCTGAGAGGCCTAATAAACCCGGACGGAGGGAGTACTTGGTTGTGAGAAGTGATGTGTTTGACCGTCTTGACAGAAAAATTCTACCAACATAGAGACAGGAAGTTAACCAAATATGACTAGATCATATGTACTGAACGATTGTGCCCAATCACAAGACAGAAGTTTAAGGTTGATTAGCCTACAGTGTACCAAAGTAAGCACTAAATCATACACCTAAATGAAACCAAAACAGCTGATGAGAGTGAACTCATAAATTTCTCCAAACCCAGGAGAAACATGCAGTTTTCATGCTCACGATTAAACTACAACTCGTCAAATGCGAAGGACACCCGGCCCTGATCAGAAAGCACGCCGAAACAGTATCGCATGTACTACCACACAACCTGACCAACAGTGCGGACCCCAATAAAACAAGCAAGAGATCTACTGTGACAAAGGTCACACAGCCGAATCACAGGCCATACCTCGAACAGAACTGACGCGATTAAAAAATAACCAGCAGGCGCTCTTCCTCTTCATCAAGTAGGAATTTTGGAGTGACTTATTTGGAATATTTTAGTGCATCAAAATGTCCCCGTTCTGCTCAACTTATCAGTTCAAATTTCTTGGATATTAATTAGCTCAATGTTCGTACTCCTTCCGTTTATTTTAACTCCGTTAGATTTGTCTGAAGTCAAACATTGCAAAATTGACAAAACTTATATTAAAAATTATCAACACCAACAATATCTAATAAATATAATATGAAAGTACATTCCCTCATGGATCCAATGATATTGATATTGTATTGCGAATGTATAATTTTTTATATAAACCTGGTCAAACTTTGAAGAATTTGACTTCAGACAAACCTAATATGTGGAGGGGAAAAAACAAAAGGAGTACTTGGATTATCTTGTCAACTTATTTCATTGGGTTAGTCAGTCTGTTTTCCTGGCATCTATTTTTAATAAATTGGCTGTATCTTTCTGATTGTTCTTTTGCAGTACAATATTTCTACCGCACAGAATAAAATCACGACAGTAGGAAAGAGGAAACAAAGTACATATGACCGTTTTTTTTTTTGCGGGGTCCTAGAGGTTGCGTCTATATCCACCTCAGTCATAAACAACATGTACTCCATGCTATCAAGATGTGCTGTGAACCTCAATAACAGGATAACTATCGCTGTCCAACCTCCACCCCCACCCCTCCTCAACAGTTTCTTCTTTTATTTCTGAAACACTGACGAGTTATTTTAAATCGCTCCTTAGTTACAACGGAGTGATAATCGATTACACAGTACTACTAAAGAATCTTGGAAGGTAAAAAGAAGAAGGTACATCATATGGTGCTTATAATTCCCAACGAATAAAAGTGCGGACAAAGTTGAACGACTCTAGAATCAATTCAGTCGGATCTACTATCTCTCTCTCTCTCTCTATCTAGTACTCACACATACACATATAGATAAGATATACACACTTCAACTTGACTTCTAATACTCTTTCTTACCAACACGAAACATCTAACTATGTTGAATGCATGCATACATACCCCTAATTTGCACATATTATTTCGCTGGTAAGGCTGCAGAAAATATCCTTACCCTCATCCCAGTCTCCAAAGTCTTCTAAAAAAAACCTTTTTGAAAAATCCTAGTCTCCAAGCTGATCGACATTCATTGTTAGCTAATTTCCTAACATGCATGCATATATAACTACCCCCTTTGTCCCAAATAAGTGTTGTTGATTTAGTACAACATTGTACTAAAGTATGTACAATTTGTTAGTACAATGTTATACTAACTTTGTACTAAATGAGCGACACTTATTTTGGGACGGAGGAAGTATCTGACAAGGTTAATAGTAACAAGAGGGATGCACTGTTATTATCGCATTAACAAATTGGATATGATGAACCTATCAGCTGAAAGCCTGTCTGGTATGTTTTTACATAGTTTGGTTCACTCACACTATAGTCAAACATTAAGACATGCCTACATACTTGGTGGGGAGAAGTGATGTGTTTGACCCCGTTGACAGAAAAATTCTACCAACATAGAAATAGAAAATTAACCAAATATGACTAGATCATATGTACTGAACGACTGTGCCCAAACATAGAGATACATGCGATCAACCTGTCATAATATATAGTATAGTAAAGATCGAAACATAATACTAGGATTTCGTACAGAAGTTTAAGGTTGATTAGCCCACGCTGTACTAAAGTAAGCACTACATCGTACACCTAAATGAAGCCAAAACAGCTGAGGAGAATGAACGCATAAAATCCTCCAGGCCCAGGAGAAACATGCAGTTTTCCTGCTCACGATGAAACTAAAACTCGTCAAATGTGAAGGACGCTCGAATCAGGAAGCTCGTCGAAACTACAGTATCGCATGTACCACAAAGCGTGACCAAGGAGTGCGGATCCTAATAAAAATCAAGCAAGACATCTGCGTACGTACGGTGGCTATTGTACTGACAAGGGTCACACAGCCGAATCACAGGCCATACCTCGAACAGAACTGATGCTATTAAAAAAAACGGAACAGACGCGATTGGAGAGGGGAAGAGAAAGCATATCAAATCAGCGGTACTGCGAAGTGCACACAAGAGAAATTATTACGAGTACTTTGCTTTTATGGGTGAAGCTCACTGTCCTAGTCCGGACATCACATGAAATTTTTTTCTCCATTTGTAGCCGTAGCCTTCCTTCCCCTGCCGCACCGTAATTGCTGGGCACGCCTGCACATTAATTTCGGCATTGGGCTCCAGGTACTACCAGCTGGCTATTATGTGTGTCCTTCATTTTTCAGGACCTCTTTGAATCGCTACCGCCTCTGATCGAACGGAAAGAACGGAGAAGAGGCAAGAGAGAAGGCAGCGAGGCTCCATGAGATAATGCGGGGGGAGTGAGAGGGAACTGGAGAAATCGAGGGGGAAAGAAAAAGCAAAGGCCAAAAGGTGTGTGTGGCGTGTGTGAGAGACGGAGACAAAAGGAAGAGCAAGCTAGCAAGAATGTGCTTTTCGATTAGCCGTGTGCATCGAGTCCGTACGGATACATTGGGGTAGAATGGGCAGCAGCTACAAGAGTTCTCGACCTCCAATAATAGTAAATGGCAACCACAGCATTGCAAACGCCCATGAACCCAAATACCCAAGCAGTAACCAGATTTCAAGCAGCAGTAGCAGCAGCAGCAGCAGGGAAACTAGATTTAAAGATTTGCCATTCGCGTGGGGTTACCTGGTGGCGCTGGAGAACTCGTAGAGCCTGCCACGAGGGCAGAAGACGGCGAGCGCGACCTCGACGTCGCAGAGCACGGAGAGCTCGAAGGCCTTCTTGAGCAGCCCGTTCCTGCGCTTGGAGAAGGTCACCTGCCGGCTCGTCTCGTTCTCTATCCGCTTCATCTCCGTCTTCCCCCGCACCATCCTTCCTGCCTGTGGCGGAGCTCGATCGATCCCCTCTCCTCCCGAAAACAGACCAATCAACAACTACACAGCGCGGTGAAAAACGAAGGAATTAAGTGAGTAAATTCGAGCCAGAGGAGATCAAAAGCGACCAAAGTTGATAGATCTGAGAGGGCAGTGCACTCACCAGAAATGGCTAAGCGAGGAGAAGGAGGGACCGCGCGGCCGCGACTGCGTCCCTGCCCGCGTCGCGTAGCCCGGAGTGGAAAGGGCGTGGTGTGAGGTGGGTGCAGCCAGTGTGCACTGGATTTATAAGAGCATCTCCACTCGGCCCCTCAACAGGCCCTAGGGCGTCCTTTTTAGTATGGGCGACGAAAAAACGGCTCAGCGCGTCTCACATCCTCGTTTATCGCTGGTTTAGACCGAAAGTACAACGTGTGAACTCAAGCCAAACCCGGCGCACCGGGGGCATGGGCCTGCACTGTCGGCGACACCGGCCGATTTCCCGACGTTTTCTTCCCGCTTTCCCTTCATTTCCCCATTGTCCCCCCTTCTTCCCCGCCGCTCCCGCCATTCTCTCCCCAGATCCGCTCGCCATGCCGCCGAACAAATATGCGGCTCCTCGCCTAGCTACAACGACGACCAAGAGTTCAAGTTCCTTCATGTGTTCACCAGGATCGAGTCGTGCGAGAAATGGATGGAGGTCTGGCTCGCTCTTGCCAAGGCGAAGGGCACCTACAACCCGGACGCGCCTGCCCCGACAGCGGCAGAAGGGCGCCCTGATGGCAACAAACGAGCCAAGGCGGCGAGGGACGCGGCACCCTCCACCGAACGGCTGCAATCCTCGATCGAGCAGTGCATCACCGACACCAAGAGCAACGCCGCCAGGAGGGAGGAGAAATCCGATGCGAGGTGGTCGGCATTGATGACGAAGCAGGACGCCAAGCTCGACCTTCTCAGGACCAACGTCGCCGCAAAGAAGAGGAACACCGACCTGGTGTTCTTGATGGGGGGAGACACGTCGACGATGGACAAGCAGGTGAAGGCGTGGTACCTGGCGGAGCGCGGCCTCATCTTGAACCAGATGTCGGGACCGGCGGCAACCATCGCTCCTACGCCCACGCCGACGCCGATCCCGAACACTGAAGCTATGCCCACGCCGACCCCGAGCCCGACACTGAAGCTGCGCCCACGCCGACCCCGAGCTCGAGCACTGCTGAAGCTGCGCCGTCGTTGACGCCGACGCCGACCTCGGCCTGCCCTACGGCAGAGAAACCTGTTGTTTGATGAGCTCCATGTCTATTGTTCCTACCATTTGATCGCCGGATTTTGACTATGATGATCACTGACCTGTGGTATGATGATCGCCGAACAGTGTCGTTTTTGGTAGCCGGAAAACTGAACTTTGAATTTGTATGCGTTTGGGGCCGAAACCTGGGGGCGCGACTGGGAACTCGATCGCCCCCAAGGCCAAAATATCGCCAGCACAAACGCCAAAAACCCTTCGTCGGGTGCGCTGGGGAACCAAACGGCTGGAGATGCTCTAAGACTGCCGATAGTGTGGGGAGTAATTTAGACCAGTAACATGCATATGTTACTACTCATAGTGGGGAGTATGCTACTATCTTTATAGTGGGGAGTAAGGCCAACTCCAATGCGCAACCTAAACGAACGTCCGTTTTGTCAAGATTCATCCGTTTGGTTCGGCAAAATGGACACTGGTACGTCTTCGACGTATCTATTTTTCCAAACACTTTTGCCCTTGTTTTGGACTCTAACTTGCATGATTTGAATGGAGCTAACCCGGACTGACGCTGTTTTCAGCAGAATTGCCATGGTGTTATTTTTGTGCAGAAATAAAAGTTCTCGGAATGACCTGAAAATCAACGGAGAATATTTTTGAAATATATAAAAAATACTGGCGAAAGAATCAAGGCCAGGGGCCCACACCCTGTCCACGAGGGTAGGGCGTGCCTCCCCCCTGGGTGCACCCCCTGCCTCGTGGGCCCCCTGGTGCTCCACCGACCTTAACTTCAACTCCATATATTCGTGTTCGGGGAGAAAAAAAATCAAAGAGAAGGATTCATCGTGTTTTACGATACGGAGCCGCTGCCAAGCCCTAAACTTTCTCGGGAGGGCTGATCTGGAGTCCGTTTGGGGCTCCGGAGAGGGGAATCCGTCGCCATCGTCATCATCAACCATCCTCCATCACCAATTTCATGATGTTCACCGCCGTGCGTGAGTAATTCCATCGTAGGCTTGCTGGACGGTGATGAGTTGGATGAGATTTATCATGTAATCGAGTTAGTTTTGTTAGGGTTTGATCCCTAGTATCCATTATGTTCTGAGATTGATGTTTCTATGACTTTGCTATGCTTAATGCTTGTCACTAGGGCCCGAGTGCCATGATTTCAGATCTGAACCTATTATATTTTTATGAATATATCTGAGTTCTTGATCCTATCTTGCAAGTCTATAGTCACCTATTATGTATTATGATCCGTTAACCCCGAAGTGACAATAATCGAGATACTTACTGGTGATGACCGTAGTTTGAGGAGTTCATGTATTCACTATGTGTTAATGCTTTGGTCCGGTACTCAATTAAAAGGAGGCCTTAATATCCCTTAGTTTCCAATAGGACCCCGCTGCCACGGGAGGGTAGAACAAAAGATGTCATGCAAGTTCTTTTCCATAAGCACATATGACTATATTCGGAATACATGCCTACATTACATTGATGAACTGGAGCTAGTTCTGTGTCACCCTATGTTATAACTATTGCATGAGGAATCGCATCCGACATAATTATTCATCACTGATCCATGGCCTACGAGCATTTCATATATTGTTCTTCGCTTATTTACTTTTCCGTTACTACTGTTACAATCACTATAAAACCAAAACTACTACCGTTACTTTTGTCACCATTACCACTACTATCATATTACTTTGCTACTAAATACTTTGCTGCAGATATTAAGTTTTCAGGTGTGGTTGAATTGACAACTCAGCTGCTAATACTTGATAATATTCTTTGGCTCCCCTTGTGTCGAATCAATAAATTTGGGTTGAATACTCTACCCTCGAAAACTGTTGCGATCCCCTATACTTGTGGGTTATCAAGACTATTTTCTGGCGCCGTTGCCGGGGAGCATAGCTCTATTCTTTGAGTCACTTGGGATTTATATCTGCTTTTCACTATGAAGAACTTGAAAGATAAAAGAACCAAGATTTTTTCCTCAACTACGAGGGGAGGTAAGGAACTACCATCTAGCTCTACACTTGATTCACCTTCTGTTTTGAGTAAACTTGCGACTCCTACTCCTGCTATTCATTCTGATATGTCGCATGTTATTGATGATGCCACTTCTGCTTTGCATGATACTTATGATGAAACTACTTCTATGCTTGATAATACTGTGCCACTAGGTGAATTTCTTGATGAACAACTTGCTAGGGTTAGAGAGAATGAAATTATTGAAACTGATAATATTGATGAAAATGATGATGAAGATTCTCCCCCTAGACATGAATTGCCTATTGTGCCTGAGGGTTATGTTATGGATGAAGAAACTGCTAGAGACTTCTTAGCTTGCAAGGATATATCTGATCTTAAGAAATTATTAGCTAAGCTGAAAGAAAAGTCTTTGAATGCTAGAATGAAATATGACCTTGCTTTTGCTACTTCAACTATCTTTATTTCCGATAAGGACTATGATTTCTCTGTCGATCCTGAGTTTAATTACTTTGGTTGAATCTGATCCTTTCTATGGTTATGAATCTGAAACTGTTGTGGCACATCTTACTAAATTAAATGATATAGCCACCCTGTTCACTAATGATGAGAAAACTCGCTATTATTATATACTTAAGTTGTTTCCGTTCTCATTAAAGTGTGATGCTAAAACATGGTTTAATTCTCTTGATCCTGGTTGTGTGCGTAGTCCCCAGGATATGATTTATTACTTCTCTGCTAAATATTTTCCATCTCATAAGAAACAAGCTGCCTTAAGGGAAATATATAATTTTGTGCAAATTGAAGAAGAGAGTCTCCCACAAGCTTGGGGGAGGCTTCTCCAATTACCTAATGCTTTGCCTGATCATCCTCTCAAGAAAAATGAAATACTTGATATCTTTTATAATGGACTAACCGATGCTTCCAGAGACCACCTGGACAGTTGTGCTGGTTGTGTTTTCAGGGAAAGAGAAGTTGATCAAGCTGAATTGCTATTGAATAATATGTTTACTAATGAAAATAATTGGACACTTCCTAAACCAACTCCTAAGCCAACTCCGAAGAAAAGGGGTATTCTATTTCTCAGTCCTGAAGATATGCAAGAGGCAAAGAAATCAATGAAAGAACAAGGTATTAAAGCTGAAGATGTTAAGAATTTACCACCTATTGAAGAAATACATGGTCTTGATAACCCGACACAGGTAGTAAAGGTAAATTCTCTCTATAGATATGATAAAGTTGAAATCCCGCCCACTAAGTTTGCTAGTCAATGCTTAGATGAGTTTGACAATTTTATGGTTAACCAAGAAGACTTCAATGGTTATGTTGGTAGACAATTGAAACGTAATGCTTATATGATTGAACACTTGAGTGATTATATGGCTAGTGTTAAAGGTGAACTTAAACTTATTAGTAAACATGCTTCTATGGTAATCACTCAAGTAGAACAAGTACTTAAGGCTCAGAATGATTTGCTCAATGAATTCAATAATAAGAAAAATGTAATGCTGTTAGAGTTATGACTAGAGGGGGTAAGATGACTCAGGAACCTTTGTATCCTGAGGGCCATCCTAAGAGAATTGAGTAAGATTCTCAGAGAACAGATGTAGATGCAGCTAGTCCTTCTAAAAGGAAGAAAAAGAAAAATGATAGGACTTTGCATGCTTCTAGGGAACCAGTTGTTGCCTCACATGAGAATCCCAATGGTATTTCTATTTCTGATGCTGAAACACAATCTGGTAATGAACATGAACCAAGTGATAATGTTAATTATGATGTTCAT